CTTTTGTAGCCAACTAAAGTTTCTAGTGTGTGATGAGCTTTAAGCTGTCTAAATGCTTTATTTCTTCTTTTAACTGCTATTCTACAGCTCTCATCCCACCACGGCACGCTTTTTCCCCGTTTATTTCCTGTACTTTTAGGAATGGTTTCTTCTGCTGCTTGTATAATGTTTGCGACTACTACACTATTCATTTCCTCCACATCGGTTATATCTCTACTCAGTATTTCCACACACTTAGTCTCACTAATTTCTTGAAATGTCTGCCAGTCAGCTTAATCTAACTTCCACCTTGGTATTTTCACTTCCCCATCCTGGTGTAACTCTATGCCAATCCTAGTTATTATCGGATAGTGATCACTACCCACTGTCGACCTACCAATTACTTCCCATGCTCTTATTCCTGCAATTTCAATTGACACTAGTGTTAGATCAATAGTATTACTTGAACTATTATACCGCGTGCCCTTTCCATCATTAATACACACCAACTCCTTATCATCTATAAATTTCTCTATTGCTAATCCATTTATATCTGTGTTCTTACTTCCCCATAATGTACTGTGTGCATTAAAATCCCCACATACCACTATTTTGCCCTGCATTGATCCGCAAACTAATTCCAACATATCAGTACTTAATCTATTGCAAGGGTTGTAAAAATTGGTTATTTTTATACTGTTTCCCCCTGATCATACTTCAGTTACAACAGATTCATGTTCTTTCCCTTCACTAATAAGTTTATATCTTACCCCACTTTTAACAAAAGTTGCTACACCTCCACCTTTTCCTGTTTCTCTAGCTCTCCTAATTAAAGTATATCCATACAATACAAAGTCCAACTGTGGTTTTAACCATGTTTCTTGCACACATATTACATGAGGTCTATCTGCTAAATCTGAGACAAAACTCTTGAATTCCTGTCCATTTGCTATAAGGCTCCTGGAGTTCCATTGCAATATAGCTAATATCATAAAGAGCCACCAACCCATGTCTGCGAGCTTGTGCTTCCTGCCACTATCATTTCTTCCACTACCTCACAGCTAAGCCCTTTTATTCCTAAATACTTTTCCGCTGATTTAACTATTATTTAGATCTTTTCTGTCTTCCTGTCTGTCTGTGCCGAGCAGTTTATCACCTCAACCATAAACAACACAAATTCATTTTTGCCCATAACTAACAAATCCTTCTTTGCCTCAATTTTCTCACACTTCCCACAAGACCTACTTTTATTTTCTTTGAGTTCTGGTTTATAGGCTTCTTTTTCCTTAGACACTTTCTTTGCAGCTTCTGCATATGTTATTCCTTGCAGTGATCTCACTCGCTGCACCTCCATTGCCCTCGTGCTAGCTTCACATCCACGGTAGGCTGAACTGTGCTCCCCTCCACAGTTACAGCATTTCAGCTTTACTCCTTCTCCACATTCCCCATACTCGTGCTCGCCTGAACACCTACCACATCT